ATTTAATTTTAATTTTAATGTTTTAATTTTATTTTTAATTATTTTAATTATTATTATTAATTATATAGAAGAAAAGGTCTGTTAGCACGTGTTACTCAATCACAATATTTGCTACGAATGAAAAAAACGAAGAAATAAAGCATGCATAGTGGCATTTGCCACAGAAACGAACAATATTAAAGCATACATATATGATTCATTCATTCCCTGTTTGCTTACTTGATCAAATACGCTGATAACGGAGAGGACGGCGAACGCAACGCAATTATTTGGTTGTTGAGTCATTTGATTGTTAAGTCATTTAAATGTTTTGGAAACAATTTGGTTGCAAACTATTTGATTAAAAAGTTACTTGATTGGAAATTGTTTGGTTGGAAATTATTTGGTTGCAAACATGTGCTTGGGACATTTACGGATTGTTGACACTTGATTGGGAGTGATGTTGTTTCACGTTATTTGATTCATAATTTGAATTAAAGTTTCTAGGAAATGCAAGATTATTTCTAGTTCTCTGATAATTTCTCTCGCATAAGCAATTTCAATTACTACTTTAGCCCTGTCATAAAGTTTCGAATAAACTGCGTCGGATTACTATTGTCGTAGTACCTATTTTTAATTTATTCAATTCTTAAAATAAGTGAATTTAATTTTACGGGGTTTATGCCAAATTTCGGAATAATATCGATCAATGCATTATTAACTTCCCGAAGGAGAATAAAAAAATCCGATTCGCTAATTTTATGTTTTCTCGACAATTCAAGCCATTCTAAATCGAATGAGACCAAATTTGGAAAAAGTATGTGTGTGTGTGTAAACACATTTTTTGCCGCAAATCGACGTTTTCTCAAAAATGGCTGGACCGATTTCAAAAATTTAAAAGCCATTCGATGTATCTCGACGAGGACTAGCGTTTATCAATTTTGCGCGACGATCAGCCAAGCAATTTCTTTGCAAATAGCAAAAAAGTGAAAAAAATTCGTCCACGTTTAAGCCCGCAGTTCTGTACGGATTTTGAAAATTCAAAAACCGTTCGAAAGATATTGACTGGGAATCGTGCTGATGAGTTTTTGTTAGAGATCGGCAGGGCCGTTTTCTTGTAATAAAATGTTGAAATTTTTTTTCGACGATTTTTATTATTATTTTTTTGACGGTACTTACCATAGTCTTCTAGATCATACTAAAATGTTACGGTCCTACGACAATTCTTTTAGCTTTAAAAATTCGTCCAAGTTTGCAAAAATTAGTATCGTTTTTTTGGCATTTGTCAAAATTTGGCATTTGTCAAACATTTTCTCAAAATCGCCTGAACCGATTTCAGAAATTTAAAAACCATTTGATGTGTCATCGGCCGAGCCGTTCAATTGAAATTTGGAAAATAGTGTTCTAAAAATTTCTCGTCCAAATTTAAGCTCATACTACAGAATCGATTTTAAAAAATCAAAAACTGTTCAAAAGATATTAGTTGGAAATGATACTGATTAGTTTTAGGTGAAAATCTACCGAGCCGTTTTCTTATAATTTGTTTTTGAAAAAAATAGTTGATGATTTTAATTAAACTTTTTAATTAAAACTTATTGAAATATTACGGCCTTACGACAGGTAGTTTAATTTTAAAAAATCATCAAAGTTTGAGAAAATGAGTAGCTTTTTTTGACGGTCTGAAGAGATTTTGATGTGTTAGTAGTAATGTTTCGCCATGAATCTAGTATAATATGTTCATCTTCTTCACTATACAAACTTCATTCTTGATAATGAAGTAGTTGAGATGAGCAACTACTGCGCAAAATATTTTGCATATATACACATGTTAAAAAGATTAATTTCACTTTTGTCGGTTCCAAGAGTAGAGGTAGTCTGAGGACTCACAGGACGTTATACCAAACTTATTTTCTACAACTTGTTGTGCCCTGCTTAATCTATAATTTAAATCCCTTTGAACGGTTCCTTTTGCCCATAATCTCGGATAGAGCTTCATCAAGTTTTCCGTCATAGGAAATGCATCATTGGTTTCTAATACTAATGGTTCCACTTTTTTAGTTAATTTAGTATTTTTTTCTTAAAAACTTTTCGCAAATGATTTGTAATTAGCATCAATAATGACCATTAACACAATGCTAAAGTCTGATTTATAGTTAAAATATTCAGAACCACCATGTATTGGTGCTTGTAATACAATGTGTTTCCCATCTATTGCACCCAAGCAGTGTGGAAAATTTTATTAATGAGATAATCTGTTGGAATTTTAAGTCATTCTTGAGCAGTGGAGGGCATCTGCAACAAAGAAAATAATTACGTTAATGTGCGGCTGGCTGCGTATTCGTGTATTTATAATTTTAGATAGCCGAATATAGTGTACGTGCTGAAATAAGTGACGAAAAGTCTCAACCGATATCATCTGAAACAGAAGAGGTAGAAGCATCTTCTCCAGCTTCTGCCTAACCCAATGAACCATTACCAAACACTTCAAACCAACGACCAAAAGAGTTTGTAGTCCCAAAACGGCCTCAAAAAAATTAAAAGAAGATTCTTGAATTGACGAAGTTTACAATATATGAAAAACTGCTGTCGGTCAACAAAATAAAATAATGATGAGTATGATCTTTATGGTGAATATCTAATATCAAAAGTTAGAACATTAGATGAGCATTCATATGTCATGTCTCAGCACCATATAAACCAAATAGTGTTTGAATCAGCACTCGGCCGATATAATGAAATGTTTGGGCAAGAGTAAATACGATGTATAATATTTAATACATAAATTACCATAAATAGTATAAAAAATTATTACTTACTCTAATTTCTTCATACAGAACTTATATGAGTTTTAAAATATTGAACAAATACGAAAGACTTTTGTAAGAGTCACCAAGAAATCGCAAGGTTAAGCTTAGTCTTTTTCTGAAATAAGTTTACATATTTTTGGTCCGACTATGTTCATTAATTTCTCAGTCTGATGATGACACTTTTGTGAAATTCGAAGTGTCCAGAATTTTCACGTTGTAAATCCAAAAGTAAATCTGTGCCACCATACCGACTTCTACTTTTAAACAGAGATGTCATTCACTAACGACTCTTTCTTGCTTTTTTTGATATCTTTATCAATGAATGTAATATAAAAAAGGCACTTGCTACGATAACATTATATTTTTTCAAGTCGTGCGTATTTGATCACTTTTTTATACCCTTTCGGCACTAATATAATACTTACGTTTCACGGAGCATTATCGAACAAAGAAGATTTAGGCCCTCACTGCTTTGAGGCATTTGTTCGAATTCGTTTGGAATGAATCGCCTTCGTTCGCAATCGTGTTCGTCCTTCTTGGTATTTTGCTGTTTGTCGTGTTTTGTATAGATGTTTATTTGCGCGCCTAACAGCGTACCATTATTCTTACGACGATGAGCGATAATACTAACTATCGTTGTTTTAAAAAAAACATCCTCTATGTAATATCATTCCTTTATGTGTGTATCATGTCGCGCTTTTTGTGATTTTTAATATATTTATGTTTTGATTCACACAACATTTGCAGTTCAGTAGACAACGTCACATTTTATTAAAACTGCTGATCTTTCCTCAAGCTTTCATTAGGATGATACGTATGGTACAGCCTAGAATTCGGAACGTAGTATTTGAATACTGTGTGAAGTGTATTTCACTTATTAGGAGTACATCTGTAGAGACAGTACTGTCCTAGCTTTTGGATTGTTTTGTTTGAGTGGTGTTTGCAATTCGCGTAGAATTTAGATCATATTGTGACAATTTATATAGCAGTCCTTTGTACAATTTCATCATGGGTACGTTAGCAGCTCCATGCAGTAACGGTGTACTTATATTTTTTGAGTTATTGTCTCTGTCGATGTTTGTTATCGTTCTTAAACATTCGTTTTGAAAACGCTGAATTTTCTTGTGGTGTTTTTCGGCCATGTTCTTACAGACCGGGCATCCATATGTTATTATTGGTTGTACAGGCCAGGTATACTCGTAGTTTTGTTTTATTCTCGATATTAAGGTTAATATGCCTGTACATTAAAAAGTATAGCACTTGCATCATTTGATTGGCGTTAGTCGGTTTTCAGAATGTTTTGCAAATGTGTGTTTTCATCTAGAGTTATACCCAGATATTTGGCTGATGTGAACCATTTAATATCTTGTTTGACTTTGGAGCTTTTCTTAGCAGTAAATATTATTGCTTCCGTTTTGTCGGAGTTTGCATGAGATCAGCCAAATCAGGTATGCAGGAAATTTGAGAAAAATCATTTTTTTGATTAGTCTATTATGCCACACTGTGTCAAATGCTTTTTGTATGTTTAATAGTGCAACTCATGTCTATATTTTTAGGTTCAATCCATATGTGATAGTTTCGGCCAGAATATTTATTGCGTGCTGGGTTGAGCGTTGACCTCCAAATTCGTATTGTTCAGGGGGTAGTAACTTTGGTGGATAATGTGTAGGAGTATTGCTAGGTAGAATTGTAATATTGTGAATATTATTGGTAAGATATTTTGCTAGAGAATTTTCTGAGCTCTAGCTGAGTGTCTAGCGTTAAAGTCGCCACCGATTATAACTGTTTGTTCTAATTTTATGACCATTGATAAATCTTCTAGGTCCAATGTTTCTGTAGGAGGTGCATAGATGACCGCCAGGGCAATTTCTTTGATTCCATTGTGTATACTAACGACGGTTCCTTGCATTCTATTGAGTTGTGGCATATTGATCGCAGTGTGAGAATTTACAAGTGTAATTGTGCCTCCTCTTCTAGATGCCATGCATGTCTTATACCATTCATAGCCAGGAATATAGCAGTTATCTCTATCCAGCATCCACATACGAATAGAAAAGCAACGCTGATTTCATAGTCGTATAAAAATTGTTGGAGTTGTGGCACTTTTCTAATTAGGCATCTACAGTTCCTTGTCATTAAGTTCAGAATTGTTTTATTATCCATTATTTGAAACTGGCGCTGTAAAACTTGACTGCGAGCATCATAATTTCGGTTATGCCTTTTTCTGCTAAGAATTTAGGTAAGAACACTTGAACATTGTTCAAAATTTTAGATATGTCGAAGCACTCTGATCAGTTTGAGAAGCATTTCTGAGTTATTGTCGTTATTATCAATTTTATGAGCCATTTCAGCGGGAGAAATAGTGACTGCTTCACTGTACTTCTTCTGAAAAGGTGCTAAAGCGGGTGCTGTATTAATATCGGTTTTGAGTTTGTGCTTCCTCTTTTTTTTAAATAGTTGTTATCTTCGGGTTTAACTAATGTTATCTTCGTTTCTCCTTAAAACTCATACATATAATAATCAGTTTCTCACCAAATCGTAAAACCATAATCGAGGAAATAATTTTTTTTTCACATAGCAAATTCGAAAAAACATAACTAATATTTGCAAACTAATAAATAAAATAATTGCAACTTTCTTTGTCTGAAAAGATGTTAATAAAAACACACCTTTTGATAAACAAAAGTTAAGTTATGGTGACAAATGTTAGTGTATAATTGATCATAAAGGTAATTAATTGTTTTGTTTTTTCTAATTCCACTTTCTAATTTTCAAATATTTCGTTATATATTTTTTATTCATTTTATAAAAATCCACTATTACATTATCACACTAGGAAAAAACACAATACATAATATTAAACTACATAGTTTAATTTAATTTTGTAAATGATATTTGTAATATAAAAATTACTTAGACAGCTTTGGAGTAGTGTTCTTGTATTTAAATATATATATATATATATATATATATATATATATATATACAAATATTTACAAATTATAGTAAGTTCTGACAAGAGGCAAGATTATTAAAGTCTTCTATCGCTGGAAGGATCGAAGCCATGCTTCTAGATTGAGCCAGTCACCAACGGTTGAGTGTTTATTTCCGGATATCTCAGCGTACTATATCCACTTGGAACGTCGGTTCAGACTCTCTCAAGTTGCTTTTATAAGTGTTCCTACTGAGTGTACTAACTTATTGGCACGCTGAAAGCCGATCCGCAAAGAGACAGATTCTGGAACGGGGCTCTGGTTTTATACCCTAGAGGTCCGTCGAAGCCCAACCCTCGTTTCTCTGGGGGGGTTTCTCATCTCGTTCCATCTTCCCTGGTTGCGATGGTTTGTGCTTTTTCCTTATCTCGTCTTGGTCTTCGGTGGTCATGTCTTTTTGAAAATCAAAATCAAGAAGGAAAAAAAGGCAGAATAAAAGGAATTAAAGAAAAGAAATAGAATAAATAAATGAATAAATAATAATTAAATAATAGTATTAATAATAAAAACCATAATCAATAATAATTAAAAATAACTTGTTTGAAAATGTTCCTGTGCAAAACAGAGAAAATTATGTTTTGGACGGTAGATTACTAGGCCATTTTCTTTTCAAGCGTTTTAATTTTTTGGCTGTCTGTACTATTTGCATTTCCGGATTAACGTGTGCATCCAATTTGCTTTGAAAGATTAAACTTCTGTTTTTGATAACTTACGCTACTGTAGGAATTTTTAAGTCTTTATGGATCATGTGGTTGGTCATAAATCACGGAGCCTTACAGATCATTCCCAGAATTTTGTTTTGGACTCTCTGGATTGAATGTTACTCTTGCTGGCGCAGCCCCATAGCTCTATCCCATAAGTTCATATTGGAATTATTATCGCTGTGGTTAATAGTTTATTTTCTAGAGATAGTTTGGATGATCTTCTCATTAGCCAGTTTATTTATTTCAGTATCAAATCTATTTGTTTTTTGTTTCATTAAAATATGCGTTTTCCAATTTAGTTTACTGTCTATATGTATTCCTAGGTATTTTACGGATTCCTGGTTTGGTATAATTCTCTTATTCAAATACAAGGCAGGTCTTGTGTGGCTTCTCAGTGAAATGATGGGTGTTGAGATTTCTTAACGTTAGTTTTTATACTCCATTTATCTAGCCATAGTTTTATTTTCGCCAGGTAATTTTGAAGTAAAGAAGTAGCTGTTGTCACATCTTTATGACTTGAGGTAATAGAAATGTCATCAGCATATGTGCTTATTGTTAATGTCGGATCGAGTGGCATATCACTCGTAAATAGCAGATATAGTATTGGACTGAGAGCACTACCTTGTCGAACACCGGAATGAATTGGTTTTGGAGAGGAGAGTGGTTCATTTTCTTTAATTTGAAAAGTACTTGGTAATACTTAATGGATTAGCGTCAAAGCGCGGATCAAAAACGTAAATAAGCAAGTGGTCATTAAAATTGATGTACTAATTCATCTATTATCATAGGAAATACATCGTTAATTGAAAGTTAAATATTATATTACATATACTTACTACTTATATGACGTAGATACATTTATAATTAAAAATAAATTAAATGTTTCCAAAAAATAAATGGTAATATTGTATTATTTGCAATTACGCTAATTATCGTTCAAAATCTTGTTAATACGCAGACTGACAATTGTTTGTTCAAAGTTTTTTTTAGCAGAATAACGGTAACATAATATCAGATGGCGAATCTGTATTGCCACCAAAAAAAAAAAGAAAAAAAAAGAAGATGATATGGACAAAATGTTAAAAACTCAACTGGTGCAGTTTTTATTAGAATATAATAACACTAGTAAACAAAATCATTTTATCCAATATATGACCAAAGGTCTAGAGTGGTTCGAAGACGACTCGAGGAAAATAGTAGAAAACCAATTAATGAATGTAATGTGTGAGGCCAGAAGAAATGGCATTGAAGAAAAGAAAGAAAAAATTGTTAACCCGATAACTGATGAGTTAATAGACAACTTAAGCGAAATTATAAGTGTTCCGGGCCGTAGCTCATAATTTATATAAGGCTTGGTATATTTATATTAATAAAGTAGATTTATAATTGAATATGATTTTATTAATGTGCATTTTGTAATTATAGTTACAAAACAATTATACACTTATAAAATACAATTCATAATGCATATATATATATATATATATATATATATATATATATATATATATATATATATATATCCTCAAGCCATGTTTGGAAAGTAAAAATTTACGAATTTTTGCACTTTTATCCATTTGATCAAAAAGTTCTTTATGGTCTCCACGCACTAGAAATCTGCTGACTGGTATTTTCTTCCTCGGTTTTTGATAATCAAGTGCCAAAATTTTTTCAAGACCTTTGGATTATTAATATCAATTAGCCAATAACGAGATGGGTTAAGTGTAAGATTTTTCTTCAATAAGTATATTTTTACAGCAAAGGCAAAAAATTCCAAGGTCCACATTTTTGACAACGATTCAGTACTTTGTGTGAAACAAAGTTTGTTGTGTGGAACGTCCACGCCCAAAAAGAGATGTTCGTTTTGTTGGTAAAATATTTTGCCATGTCACTGCGCCTTCAGTTGAAAAATAATTTGCAAAATATATTGTAATTTTATATCTCATTAATACCAATTATCTCATATAGAGAATTTTAGTTGTCTTATGCTGACAGTATTTTTTCTTTTGTATAAGTTGTATGTATTTTGTGCAGTTTACAAAGTTTACATTAAATATTTCAAATTAGGACTTTCTAAAGCTCTTGGCGATAAAGTTTGTGAAAATACACTTTCATCACAATTAAGACTACACATGCCACAGCTGATTCGTGAATCACTAGAAGACTTTAATTTTACATTACAATTATTTTTGCATTTGATAAGTGATAATTCAGAATTTAGTTTATGTTTATACCATGAATTACATTTTCGGTTTTATTATATAATTTAATTCAGTGTTATTTAATAAACAGTGTGCATTTTTTATTGTAAAAAGTCACCGACTATAATTATCGTTCTGTTGAGGAGAAATTATTTTATGAAAACTTGGAATTTATTGGAATCTTTCTTTGTAAGTTAAACAGCTTTGACGAAATTGACTAAAAATCATATTACGGTTTATAGCATTAATGCAAGAATTAATAACAATGAATTGTTTTTTATCTGTATCTAATAAAACTACGAGCCAATGGTTATTTTTTTTATATATTGAAATTTAAAGAAAAATACAATTTATTGCATTTATGTATAATAATTTAATTAATTTAATTTATGTATAAAATGGGGCAATTGTCGCGCATATATTCGGCCTTGTCTTCTGTATTATCAAACGTCTCACGACAGCCTGGATACCTAATGTCTCTGATGCATTCTTCCAAATCTCTTTCCCTAGATGCATGCAATTCTATCAGGCTGACAAGTTCCGTCTGATAATTGCAGAGTTTGCAATGGAATTTGTGCCCCGGGTTCCCGTTTTTCCATACGATATATACGATGTGTAGTAATTTACGTATGGACCTATGCGCTCGGAGTGCTCAGTTTGTCGTGCTGAAGTGCTCAGAATCTTGATTTCAGACTAGTCTTCCTCACTCGTAATGTACTCGGACTCAGAGTGATTCTGGACCAAATTCAAAAATCTGTTCTTCTGTGAAGTTTTATTCAATAGTAAATTGCACATATTTAATTTATTTGTGATCAATTTACAAGTAGATTTTTAGTTTGTTTTGCCGAACTTGAATTGATATTAACATGATGTGGCGTCAGATATTTTAAAGTTGATGATAATTTTATAGCAAAGTTATCATTATCATTAATTTATAATATGATCATATTCAGTGGCGGCGCTAGACCATTCGTGGGCGTCGGCGAAATTCGTTTGCGAGGCCCCCCTTTTTTGCCAGTTGCAAGTTTACTAGTGGTACATGGCATCGTGCCTAAAGGCAAATTGCTGAAACTTTTCGTGCCGTAATTTAAATTTTTGAAAAGCTTTAAAAAAATTTGAAAAGTGAAAGAAATTGACTTTTTTTATTTTGAAATATTTTGTTGAAAATTTCGAACTTTTTTTCAAAGCAATTACGTTAGCTGCTTAGAGACAAAATATCGAAGCGCGTAAACGCCGCGTTGCAGTCTAACTTAACTCACTATTAATTAAAATCTTTATAAAATATCTGATAATTTGATGTGCATATGCCAAATGGCTTTTGTTGTGGTTTTTTACTAGATT